TAACAACACGTGTGTGCAAGACCCACCTAGAAGGCGGGTGGAGGTGTGTGGAGTAGAGCTTTTCCCCCCCGCCCCCCCCCCCAACGGACCGTTACCGACAGGTAATTCCCTCGTCACAGACCATTACAGACAGGCAATTCCCCGTCACAGACCGTTACAGACAGGTAATTTACCCATCACAGATCGTAACAGACAGGGTATGGACCCATCACAGACCGTAACAGACAGGGTCTGGGCCCATCACAGATCGCAAGAGACAGGCTTCGGATCCATCACTGACCTGACTGACCGGCTTTACACCCATCACAGACCGTAACAGACAGGCTTTACATCCATCATAGACCGTGACCGAGAAACTGTAGTTCTAAAGGATCAGATAAATGGTTGGCTACAAATATATTGCAAAGAAATGGAACAAAACGATTTCCGTTTAATTAGTAACAATAGATCCATCGTGTTTCACATTTTTAATCCCGCAAGGGATTGCGCTAACAGCTTTTTAAAATGAATACGGAACCCTCAAAAAGGTTTCGTAGAAACTTCGGTTGCCTGAAAATAATCGTCAAAGCCTTACGAGAGAAGACCCCTAACTTGAAAACCGCTTTCGAACTGAGACTAAGTGGACCATAGGTAATCGAGGATGCTGAAACCGAATATCACAACCGTTTGGGTTTTGAGCCGATTTTTTGGAAAACCAGATTTTCAGGCTCAAAAACTTTTTACGACAAAACAACTTTTTTCATGTGTCCATATGAAAGAGCATAGCGCAAAACCTATAGAAAACTACTTTTCAAGGTGACTAGAGGGTTTTTAAGCTTGGTTTTTAGGTAAAAAGACGAAATACCGAGGACAAAAGTTCTTTTGAAATTCAAAGTTTTTCGCCATTTTCCCTTAAAATTGTTTAATAAAAAAATTTTTCCTCTTCGTTCTAGATGATTGCTCGTAGTGAGTTAGTAGCTTACAGACATCCTAAGTGTTGTTTGAAAGATCTTATGAAGCACTAGATTTAAAAAGCCACAAGTAATCATGCATAAATGAAACAACTCCTTCGTTTCAGAACCTAGAGTATTTCGGACCTTATGGGACTCGCACACCGAAAGTAAAGAACCGAACGGATAAGTTTCAGTGTTTTTTAATCGTTTATTAGCAAAATAGCTTTCAATGTAAAATGTACAAAATGAAAAAACCAAAAATAACAAAAACTGCTTATTATTCCGTTCCTTTTTTCCGAGCTACTGTGGATTCACCACTACCCATTAGAATTACCATATTTACACGATTATAAACCTAGAAAGAAACTAGTGCACTTAAAAATGGCTCCAGTTGTGCACGTGAAATACACTTACTGTTATTTCAATGAAAATGATAACTGACAAAGAAATGTTCAAAACATAGTTTCGTAGAACAGACAGCTCACGTAATAACAACTGATTCAGTGCAGTTTTTTTCCTCACACTCATCATGAGTTTCTGATCTCGGAAAACACACTTCGTTTACTGTTTAAATGGCCTTGGGTCGTCTTTCGTTAATCCACTGGCATACCAACTGTACCGAATCATTGATGCAAAGACTTTCGCACTTAACTGATTGTGCATTAGACTGACTAACTGAATGATATTGTTACGTTGATGTAATGGAATGTCTAGCTCATCTAGAGCAACACGATTGTAGCATGTTTTCAAGAAATTTTTTATTTCTCTATTGAAAAAACAGTCTAACGGCTGAAGATCATCGGTTGTATTTCGTGGAATTTGCAAACCGTGAACTTTTTTGCCTCCACAATTTTTCGACTCATACGTCTCCTCATGACTTTGACCAGGATAGCTATCAAAGAGTAACAAACATTTGGCACCAATTAATGGCAACAAACAGTGATCTCTCCAATATTCTACCAAAGATGTGATCAATTTTCCCGACAATGAACATGTAATGACAACGTTTTTTGGCTGAAAAAGGCGTTTTTTCACTTGTTCTCCCATTTTTCCTAAAACAATGATTGAAAGTTTGTAGAATGAGAGAGAAATGAGACGGAAGAGGGTAATACCTTACCGTTTGGTTCTTGCAAACATAAATAAATTTGCTCGAATAGTTTTCCATCTAGTTAAATGGTCGGTTGCAAAGTATAAGAATGTGTCGTTGCATTTTTCGATTGCAACGCAGTGAAAGTTTTCTTGTGACCCGAAAAAGATATAGTACGTGATGAATGTAGTTCTTTCTCAACACCTTTCTGATCTGTATTTAGAATTTCAGGAGGTTTGTAATGGAACGAAAGTTTACTGTATTCTGAAATAAAGTCAAGTTTGGATTTTTGAACCGCATCAAAACTTTCCATTTGATGGTGAGAAACGAAATTCGTTATTTTACTGGAGACTAGTTTATGTCATGTCTTGAAATTTTCGAGCCAATGATGAGAGTCATGAAAATCTTCCAACTTTAAGTCTCTTGCAATTCTCAAGAACCATCTTTGAATATCGAGATCGTGCACGGCAAGAGTTTTTTCTCTTGCTTCAATCACCTTCTTAAAAACTAATTCATCCACGTTTTGAGTTTTCTGCCGTTTTGTACCGTGGCGTTCCAAATAGTGACGATAGTTACTGATGTAGTTCTGATTTGGTATACTTTTAAATCGATTATGTATCGATTTCCATGACCGACGACGTTTGCCGCCAGACTTATTGGTCCCGTCAACATAGTCAATAACTTCACGCATAAAGTCCTCAGAATATTCTTTTAAACCAAACTTTTCCCATACAAGTCTTTCGTCGCTCCAGTCCGGATCTCTGTTTTCAGTATCCTTATCTTCACCAAATTTTTCCTCGTCTTCATCACTTTCATCTTCATTAGACTCCTCGCAGTGAAAGTTTTCTTGNCTAAGCATTCCCAAGATATCAGTCTGTTAGCATAAATACAGTTTTTTACGGATATTATTGTATGCATGAATATTTTGAAAACATTATATCTCGGGAATGCTTTGTCCAAAAATTCTGAAAGTTTGTAGATGAGCTACTCTAGTTGAGGTCTTAGTATGGGCAAAGTTTCACGTCAAAACTCGAAACTTTGATTTCATGGGAAAAATGGGGTCCCATAGGCAAATTCTAGTAAAAAGTCGATATCTCAGCCAAATTTCAATTTGCGCCCATATCCTCTTAGGCTTTTTCTAGTCTATATATTCCCTACTTATGGACAAACTTTGGGCTCAAAAGCTTTTTAGCATCTCGGAACGTTCCCTCGTTAGTTTGTTTAGCAATGATATTTTCAGTTTGATGATTAGTTCTTTATAGAAATTTGTTTTCAATCAATTCAAAAAGTTTTTCGTTAAATCTAGTTCTCTTGTCAAAGACATTGACTTCACACGTAAATTACAGATAATAAGTTAAATTGTATAAGTAAAATGCACTCTTGCCAACTAACATAAAAAAACTCTTGAGAAGAAATAAGTATCATGTTAAAATTTACTATGATGTTAAAGGACTTATCGGAGCTTCAGGTGTATACGTTGCTGATAAAGGTATCAAAAGAATTGACAACATGCATATATAAATTACTGATACAAGTGTTTTTTTCTCTTTCTTACCTTACAATAAGTAACATATATGAAAGCAGTTTTTCTTTGTCTATCTTAGAAAAAAAAAGTTAGAATGGGTTGCCAATGTGGTCGAGTTGCTCCAATAATAGAACAAATTCCAGTCTCAGATCCGACACCTGATAATATTCATGAACCAACAAAACAACAAATAAAAAACTCAAATGATTCTGAAAGAAAAAGCAATGAGAAAAATCATACAAATTCTTTAACTAATGAATATATTCCAAACGTTGATGATAATCAACAATCAGTGAATCCTCTCGTCACTACACAAAAAACTCCTATCATTGATACTTTAGAAAACGATAATGATTTTGTTGAAATTAAAGTTGATGATCCGCAAGCATTCAATAAATCATTTATTAAACAACGTCAACAAGCGATTAACAATCAATCTTATCGTTTAACTATTCAATCATGGCGTCCAAATTCACTTACACAATTAGTTAATGCTGTGGAATCTTTATCAGAAAATAAATCATTAATAGATTGTCATTGGATTATTTTCTATTGGGTTGCGTATAATATTGAATACGATACTATGGCCTATTTTAGCAAAAATTATACAGATCAAACAGCTGAAGGTGTATTTCGAACGAAGAAAGGTGTTTGTGCTGGTTATGCAAATATATATAAATATCTATGTAATCAATTGAATCTACCATGTGAAAAAGTTAGTGGCTATTCGAAAGGTTATGGATTTGATGAACGTGAAGGTGCACCTAATGAGACAGATCATGCATGGAATGCTGTTGAAATTGATCATCATTGGTATTTAATTGAATCAACATGGGGTGCTGGACATCTTACAGAACAAAAAACTTTTCAACGTGAATTAAACTCCTATTATTTTTTTGCTCGTCCCAATGAAATGATTTATCATCATTTACCTGAAAATGAAAAATGGCAATTATTACGAAAACCGATTAAAATGAAACAATATTTACAAATGCCGAAAATTCATCCTATTTACTTTGAATTGAATCTTGATTTGATTAGTCCACGTCATCAAGCTAATGTTGATCTTGTTCCAGAAAAATCATATGCATTAGTTCTTATACGAGCACCATCTGATGTTCAACTTATAGCAGATTTAAAGTTGCATAATCAAGAAGTTGAAGGTGGTCATCGTGTTCAATTTAATCACAGTAAACAAATGCATTATTGTTATTTTGCTCCGAATACTATAGGGAAATATAAAATTACCATTTATGGAAAACAAGGTGACAAAGAAGTTAAATTTAAGGGAGCAATTGAATTAACTCTTGATGTTAATAAAATACCAAAAAATCCAATCAGTTTTCCCAAAACATGGCCGATATTTTTTGATTTGAATCTAAATGTAATTTCACCGAAAAATACACATTTGATTAAAGTACATAACGGAAAAACACATACGGAAGTTCAAATTCGAACACCTAACAATGTTGAATTACTTGGACGACTTGTTGATATTCATCAAGAAATCATACAAGGTGGAGATCAAGTATTTTATGATCGACATAAAAATCTATGGCAATGCAAATTTGCACCAAATCATAATGGGATGTTCAATGCTGAAATTATGGCTAAGAAAAAATCAGATACTGGTCATTACACATCTGCTATATCATTTAAAATTGAAGCTAAAAATATTCCGACTCCGCCACTGTCTTATCCAAAAACATGGCCGCTCTTCTATGAGCTTGATCTTAAGATAGAATCACCACAAAATCGTGCTACTGTTGTATGGCCTGAGAATGCATCTTTTACTGAAATTCGTATGTCGGCACCTACTGATGTTGAATTTTCATGTGGTACTAAATTGAATGACAACCAAGAGGAAAACTGCGCATTAGCACAATTCGATAATGACAAACAACAATGGCAATTTTTGTTCGCACCTCAACGTACGGGTCTTCATAAACTCATTATTTATGCTCGACGTCAATCTGATTCTAAAACATCGTATGGTGCAGTTGTACAGTTCGATCTCACCGTTACAAAACTTCGAAAACCAATTCAATTTCCTCTAACATACACGAAATTTCAAACTAATAAATGTCGAATTTATAAACCACTTCATGGCGTACTTAAGAAAAATGCTATTGTGCCAATTCATTGTTTTATTCCTGGAGCAACGAATGTTGACTTACAAGTTGACTCCAAATGGATTAAGACTAAAGGATATGAAGATCCTATTTTAAAAGCAGAGATAACAGTTGGTTCAAAAGATGTAGCTATCTATGCTAAATATGGCCAAAACACAAGCTATGATGGACTCGTTCGATATTCTGTTGAGTAATTATAATATACTTCAATAGATTTAAGTCGATAATAGTTTTATAAATCCTTAATGTTACTCTTTTTCGTTTCATATTAATAAATTGAATATAAAAGAGATAAACCTTTTTACACTTGAATAAAATATTTCTTGTCGTGTCTTGATTAGAATGAAATATTTTTCATTTTCTGAGATGATCAAACATAAAATAAAGTCGTCATTTAAGCCCGTAAAGCATCCTGTAAATAGCATACAAAACATTCTTTTTTGTTTTCATTTGGCACATTTTTTTTTCAGATTAGCTCCAAACTTTACAAAAGTATCTACTTGAATATCGTTTTCTTTGTCATAGTATAAAGAGGTTGTCCAATGAAACACATGCATGATTTTCATCTTTAATCTAATTCCAAATGTCAAATAAATTGGCCACAAATAGCACTACGATAAGAAAAAAACCCGAAATATCCCTGCGTTAGTTTAAATCAAATGGGTTACACAAAGGCAATTTCACCTGTTATCAAGTAAGAAAAATGCGTGTGTAACGTTTCATTGATAATATTTACTCTGTTATCTAAAAGAATCAGAAGAAAACATCAAAACAAACGTTATAAATGATAGTAACGGATGCAGCAGAATAAATGGAAGTCTCGGTATTTCCTTAATATCTCAATCAATTCTCATTGCATACAATTCAACTTTTTTTAAAAGATTTATCATTCAACTTTCTACAAGAATACATATATATATATATTTCTTAAATGAGATTGTGACATATAAACTTAAAGGTCATTGAAAAAGGACAAACTTTTCGAGTTCATTCGTATGTGTAGTCACCTTAATCCTGTATGGTGTCCTATCATTGAACAGTTGATGAACTTTATTGTGTGCTTCAGATTCATTCATTGTAAATATCATACACTCATGATCAAAACCGAGCTTACGCACTTCATATATGAGCCGAGCACCTGCATTATTGGATGGTTTTTCATTTGTTCGATTCATATCGGTAACAATGCGAAATGTATCGTTGGCTTTAAGTCGATGTCCTAATTCTGAACGAAGAAATACAAGTGCTGCTTCGGTACTCGACTTAGGAATGAAATGAACATTGATATGAGTCCCAAGTGTGCTCGCCTTTTCCATATGACCTTTGTTTTCCCATGAGCCATCGAAAATGTTGTCATCAACCCACATCACTACATATTTGCACAGACCTAGTTCAATCTATCACACGTAAATATATACATCAATTTATGTGTGCAAAAAAGCTACTTACTTGTCTCATATGTATATGATGTTTTTCATTTATTGCATCTGTCTCGACATGACAGACGAGAAAAGATGAATGAGGCAAAAAGAGGACTTCATCTTCTACATCACCACAATTCGAGAAATATTGTATGCTTCGACCGGTGAGTGAAAATATTGTGAAAATAGTATTACGATGCTTGAACCATTCGAGAGTATTGTTACCTTTCTCTGCACTGCTAAATTGAAGCCATGTTACAAGTGCACCAGGTTTATAGTCTTCAAGCTCTTTATCTTCTAACTTTACATATCTCGTCACCACACCCCAATAAAAAGTAATGTGCGAAAGACCTTTAATCAGATAATACATAATTATGGCTGCTTTCTCATCGACATTGACTATTTCTGTGTTCGTTAGATTATTTGCTTGAAGTCGTCGAGCAAACACATTTGTTTCCATATTCACCACCCAACTGTATGCACCCGTATAAAATGCGATAGCAAAAGCATAAGCTTGAGCGCTCTCCTTGTCGACATCTTTCTTGGTGAAAAACTCTAACGTTTTTTGACTCTTGGCATAGTGAAGCTGAATGTATTTTTCTTCATCAAATTTTCTACAAGCGTCCACTAAACTTTGAAATGAGGGTGCATTACCGACCTGTAACATTTTCTCAAGTGCCGGTCCGAAGTCATCTTCAATCACGGCATATTCTGTACGTTTTTCGACAAGTTTGGATGCATTCTGATAAAGTTCGACGTTTTCGATGTAGTTTTCAACACTTTCAGAATCAAATTTTTCTGAATACTGCTGTTGTTGGAATTCACGTATCTTACCGATCAGCTGTATGTAACACTCGTGTGAAAGTTGCTTCTTCTTATTCATAAGATCTCCCTTGGCATCTTGAATTTTCTTGAAAACTTCCATATTACTTGTGCGACTAAGCAAGCGATTCGCTTCATCTTCACTCATATAGTACTTCAGATTATTCATTGAATTACGACCGCAATCAGCTACTACTAATACTGATTATCTAGAAGAAGAACAAAGATTTCAAACTGATATGACGCACAGTATTTTGCAGTATGACTCATTTTTATAGGATATCCATTCCTATCAATAAACTGTTCAGAGCATTCTGTGATGAATAGTTTTTGTCGATTTATCGTAGATTGCTCTGAATAATATGCTTATGGGTGAAGGTGAGAGTTTGTATGTAATTGGAAATGTGATGTCATGGTAGTGAGTGAGGGTGTAAGTGTGGTTCTTTTCTTCATCAGCACACGTCGACATGCTGATTTCATTCCTTAATGGTTTTCTGAACTAAATAATAATAACTAAAGTAATATATGTGGAAAAAAACTGAGTAAAGTAGATATGTAACATACTTTCTGAAAATTAGTAATAAAAAACTGTTTAATACAAAAGATTCTAAACAGTATCTCTAAGTAATAGCGTTATACGCTACATTCGTTACTCATTTATTTCGAGTAAGTCATAATATTTGTAACGTCTAGTATTTTGCAAATATTTCAACACAAATGAATCGTACAATCTTACTTTCTTTTTGAAAAGCTGTGGCGTCAAATTTCCTGCAAGAATAATAATGAGACATCCTATGGAGCTAGTTTGATAATTTTTTTTATTAAGCTAAAAATGAAGCCATGTGAACTGGTAGATTGTCCCATTATTCTGAGAAAAACAAAAATGAAAATGACATTGATTCTTTCACCATTTCATCAAATCGAAAGTAACAGATTATTTGGTCATCAAAATTGATGTCTGAAACAAGATACAGCAACATAATATTGCTGTGAGTTATGTTCACAATACGATCGACTCTTCTCTCCAAAGAGTTCGTGCAATTGAACAACATAATGACGATCATAGTTTTCACTGAACACTCATGATTTGTATGTTATTCCATTTCAATTATTTTTGGAAAGCAAATGATAATATCATGAAAAATTTTGCCTGAAATAAGAAGAAAACTATGTTTTCATGTTGTTTTCATTTTTTAGCTTTATACAAAAAAACATCATCAAATTAACTGCATAGAATTTCTCATTTCCATTCTTGTCAAGAATTTCACAGCATATCTTTTTCAAAAAAAAAAAACAAGACTGTCCGAATTATTTGTGCTGAAATATTTGCAAAATACTATATGTTTGTTGCAAGCATTATGACTCACCTGGTATATGGTACCTTGAAAAATAAAAAAAAATTTAAAAGCAAAAGATATACCAGAAGATTCTTTCTTCTGCAATCTTGCTTTTATAAGTCAAAATTACTAGTGCATTATTTTGTAACTACAATGAAAATTTTCTCCCTTTCTATATCGAGCAAAAGAATTTTCTCGGAAAAAGTAATGTAAAAAAAAAAAAAAAACTCCAGACGGGTGTACTCTTTTTCCTTTTCTTTTCCCAGAAATAAACGAGCAAAAATGAGATTGCAAGGTATTCTTGTGTGATTTCTCACGTCACGTTTCCAGTAGTGTAGAATACGTTCATTCGTTACGAGTTTTCAAGTATTCATATCCTTCTGCACCTAGTGCTATGCGGTGAAAACAGGTGTGCTCGAAATCCCAGAACTCACAGTCTATGTTTTACCAATCAACTATACACCTAGTCAAAGCATATGCATCTCAACCCGGAGTATTCTAAAAGGAGTTTACAAATGTTATACGAAGACTCTGCAGAAAAGATCTAGAAGGAATCTTTAGAGAGTCTTCTAAGCAATACACGGAGATTTTCTGACGAATCTCTGAAGATTGCATAGAGATTTCTGAGAATCTCTTAGAGATTTTTGGGATATGTGCTCCGTAATAACTGAAAACTCGAATATTTGAATTGTAAATTTTAAAATTTAAATAGTTGAAAGTTTGAAGAAGTTTAAAACTCGTAACAACTCTTCGAGTTCTAAATCTATGATCATATTTAAAAACTAAATTACTAACTGAAACTTTTATTATCAAAAACTGCACCGTTTCATCTGTTACATATCTTTATAGTTTTTAGAAAGATCTATTCTTTTCTAAGGCTCATTTTCATCGAAACATAGTCAGAAAGTTATCATTTCGGGAATATTATAAAAGTTAACATCGACCATTTTCCTATTGAATCTTGATCTGATTTCTAATCGAGAACAACATGAGTATCTCATTCGGAATTAGCACCAAAAATACGATGCATAAAATACGTTTCAGCAAAAATAATTTTTAATCAGATTTACGATCTTATCCGGCAGTGTCATTTTTTAAAACTAATTAGTTTAAAAGTCAACGATTATATAAATATTGAATTTTCAAACATTAAACACTGTTTTTTTTCAAAAAGAAAGTTGGTATTTTTGGTACCTAATGGACTGCAATGGTACGATTTACTTATAATACACGAATTTCAGCACTTAAGTTGACTTCATTGGCGCAACAATTAAGATGTGAGAAAATAGTCACAAAAATCTTGTCTTAAACTAAAGATCTGAAATCTCCCTCATCGAAGCACACATCAATATCAAAATTACATTGAAACTGAACACCGCTTTCATGCATCCTTTTGAATGTTTTGCGAAGATAATGTATTTAGAAATAATTGTATTTTACACTGTATCAGACAGAAAGACGTTCGAAATGCTCCTCTCTCGATCGTGGAAAATTAAACATCGCTAGTTGTTGTCGTTGTCGAATTATTGAGATTGCACAGATGTCTCTTTAATTCTACCGCGGACATTTGCTTTGAAAAATTATTTCATATACATCAATATAGTATCATACATAAAGTTCGTTTTGATTTATTATTATTATTTTCTTACATAACAGCTGAAAATTTTCTATTTAATGATTCATTTGTATTTATCTTGCTTGTCAGTAGTAAATGTCTACGTGATCTGTATGATTCGAGTGAACCGAAGCAGCAATATTTCAATATTATATTGTACTACTATTTACGGCCGAACCTGTATACTGCTCTTCTATTCTAATCGTTTGTCGATTTCTCATGTAGTTCAATAAGAAATTAACGTCCATATGTCTTTTTGTCTTCTTAGAACTTTATCTTCAAAATTTATTACGGGAAAGTTTTAAATTAAAAATTATTTTCTTTTTATTACGTGATAAATACTAAAAATTACTTATGGCATATCAAAAGTAGTGAGAGTGACACTTTGTTACCGTATAGTAAACTTAAAAAAACTTTCTTTCTATATAATCTGATAGATAAAAAAAAGCTTTATCTTTCTATGCTATTTGATCATACTTCAACTAATATCATACTAATAAGATTTCGATAAGATCTGTTTTGTTCGAATGTATCATAGTTGCATGAAGGTCAGTGAGTATTTTTTGAATAAGTTTTGATAGAAACAAGATAGGGAAGTGTGGTGTCCACCGTTAAAAAGAGGAAATAAAGATACATCGAATCGCGTATTGTAAGTTTTTCTAATATTGATTTCTAACAGTTGGGAAAATATTTTTTTTTGACGACAAAAAGCAACAAGCATAAAAGTGAGCTTTTTTCACAGATTTTGCTATAAAATCATATTTAAGACTCAACTAGAATGCATATTATTCATCTCAGCCTTCCATACTTCGTAGACGTTCGATAAGTGATTTGAATCTATACTTCATAATTGAAAATTTACTGTAAACAACTTATCATATAAATTTGTTCTTAAAAAGATCAATTGAAAACCTTAGAAAAAAAAAACAGCTCAGAAAGATCTGGAATACATGATTCGATACGTCTTCATCTTCGATTTCCAACGGTGGAAACTGCACTCCTCTATCTTATTTCCATCAATAGTTAATTTAATACAACTAAGACACGTGCGAACAAAAACAGATCTTATCGAAATCTTATTATTATGATATTAGTTGAAGTATGATCAAATAGTATAGTAAGATAGAGCTTTTTTTCTTTATCAAACTGTATAGAAAGAAAATTTTTTTAAGTTTAGATGCTTAGCATTAAAAAATTAAGTTTATCGAAAAATTAAAAAAACAAACCATTTTCTTCTCTTTCGCTTTAACTAAATTAATATATGTGTGAAATGTAAAGCTACTGAGTATTTTTTTTGTCAGATTTCTCTTAAAAAGAATATATGAACTGAAATTTTAAATGAAAAATATTAGATTTTTTCTGACTGATTTGAAAATTAGAATTAATTATTTTCAAAAATCATTTTCTTGTTTTTAATTATTAAAGGGTTTACTTTTCTATGTATGGAATGAGTACTCACATACACTGGCTCCAAAAATTATTCATACAGGTGTAATTTCGATTTTTTTCGCTAATGGTAACTTCTATGAAGAATCCAAATAGCGATTTGGATAGAGAAAATTGTTTCCAACAAAGGTCCCAGAAAGATGAAATTCTCATCTTATTCCCCAAAACCAGAATCTCTGGAAAACCGAAAACCTATTTTTTCAGCACCCAGACCCCGAAAATAAAAGTTTGTTTTGATTACACAAAGTGATAGAGCAACGAATTCGCTACAAAATGAGATGTCTTCGAGCTCTTCATGACAATTTTTTACTGAACTGCATCAGTTTTAAGGAACATCCTAAAGTGCTTTTTGTCCGATTTTCCCATAGGAAATGGTAAAAACACCATTTTTGAGTGTTTCTTAAAACTGATGCAGTTCTGTAAAAAATTGTCATGGAGAGCTCGGAGACATCTCATTTTGTAGAGAATTCGTTGCTCTATCACTATGTGTAATCAAAACAAACTTTTATTTTCGGGGTCTGGGTGCTGAAAAAATANTATCGAAGTTATTTTTATTTACTCAAACCGTACGTAGATGATGATCCAAATAGTGTCATCAAGAAAATTATTTAAGATTTTTCTTTCAAAGAAAGAAAAGACATATTTGAATCAAAAAAAAAGAACATCATTGTACAAATCATGTACGAAAAAATGATTGACAAGGAAAATTATCTTCATTGTTTTTTTAATTTTTCGTTGCTTTTAACATTGGAATACTAAAATTAGAAATTTAGCTATCAGATGTCGATCAACATGAAGGATATGGTTGCTACCAAAGTGTATAATACTCTTGTACAATTTAAGTCTATAAGCTGATTAAAATATTGAGACAACATTTGAATATGAAATTCTAATAATTGGATTAATGACTGATGCAAAAGTCTTGGCATAAATGTCGCACTGGATTGTGAGCTTACTCAAGGTGTTAGAAAACTGGTTCTTCTTCCATCAGATAGAGCAAAGTCTGAAGATTAAAAATGCATACTTCAAAAAAAAATTGTGAGTTGAATAACGATCCAAATTTCCTCTTTTCAAAAAGCGTCAAAAATACCTTGTAACTTTTGTGCCTTTTTGCTACAATTTTATTTTTATAATTAACATATCCTCCACATATGTTAATCGATTGAGCTCAAACTTTCACACTTGACCCATCCCAGTTGCAGCTCTTGAAAATCAAGAATTAGTGACCACTTGCTTCCAGGATAATGCTGAGGCGATCTTGTTTTGCTTAGATCCAAGTGTTTGTCAAGCTTGTCTTTCCTGAAGAGAATTGAGACTCTCATTTAAAAAAAAAAGTCGAGCTTAAGTCATTCAGAAGGTACAGCTTTCCGAACTCTTCAAGAACACCGAATTCAACTTTACACTCAAAAAGTTTATTTGATATAAACTTCTTCATAAGATCAAGCCGTCATAAAAGTGGTATGGCGCCAGTTTTCGATGAAGTGAAAGAGAGTTATATCTCAAGCTGATAATATCCGTTTCGTCTCAAAATTTTTTCAACATAGTATTTTGCTTGTAGAACACAGTAATGCTAAAAAATTTTTGAAAATGTTCATAAATCTAAAATTACAGAGAAAACATTAATTTTTGGCTGGTTACAAAGCTATTTTTAGCGCCTTTCGAACACTGACAATGTGAAACGTTGCTCAACTCACAATTTGTTTTTGAAGTATGCATTTTTAATCTTCAGACTTTGCTCTATCTGATGGAAGAAGAACCAGTTTTCTAACACCTTGAGTAAGCTCACAATCAAGTCCGACATTTATGCCAAGACTTTTGCATCAGTCATTATAATGACGAGATTAATTTCAATAATAATGTATATGTACGAACTCACTGAAGAAAATTCACTTGTACTTTATAATTTTAAATAAACAATCGCTCCACATTTATCATTATCAAAAACGTTACAAATAAAAAAAAATTTCGACTTTATCGTCTCTCTCAACGATAAGAAAACCTAAACCTATTAAAAGAACTACTGCATTATCTTCAACAACAGTATATAATACAGCAGCTCCAAGTACTCCTTCGACAACAACTAAAGCTATTGATCGTGCTAGATAGATCATCATCTGCGTACGGTTTGAGTAAATAAAAATAACTTCGATAAAAAGTGTTATCGAAGTTGTAACTTCGATAACCACTGCCATCGAAGTTGTAACTTCGATAAAAAATTTTATCGAAGTTATAACTTCGATAAACATGCTAACTTCGATACGACATATATATAAATAATAATATGAACATTTACTTGTAGTTATCTTGCACTGACCAGTATTTTGAAACTTGATAATAAACAGCGATGGGTATACTATGTAAACTAAACACAATAAAAATACCTAAAATAATTTGTTTTGTTCTATGTCTTGTTGTACTCATATGACGTATATGAACATCCCATGATGTTATTATATAAATATCAATCAGAAGTAGCCATGCAAAAATATGTTAACGTTATTGAATCAAATGTTTGTAAAACAAAATATCTTAGTTTACATAATACAAAAGCTTGATTTGATGATACTAAATAATTATAACCATCAAATATAATTCGAGTTAATAACGAATAACGATTAAATTGGATATACGTGTAGATGATACAAGTAAATATAATGCACTATTATTTGTTTCACTGAGAACATGATGTTTAACTGTTGTTGTTCTGAGATGTATCAGCATAGGGTTTTGAATGCAAATCTCGCGAGTTTCTTTTCTTCACCACACAAAAACAAAGCAACTGTTGATTAGAATTATTTGAATACATTTGTTTGACTCGTCTTTACGAATACCTCTGCATTTTAGTTCATCTAAAGGCGATATTTCATGTTAAAGAAATAATTAGTTTTTTAAACAAACTTATTTTCAATTAATATAAAAAAGCTTTTCATTTCTTCTAGTTCACTTGTCAAAATCATCGAAAATTTGCCTAGATAACAGACAGTAAACTAAATTCCAAAAGTAATATGTTCTCTTGTTGACTTATAAGAAAAAGACATTTGAGAAAAGACACATCTAATCAAAATCTACTGTAAGTCAAACAATGCTTCAATTCTTCAAGTATATATATTCTTGATAAGATAATAATAAGGACTGTCAACATACACATCAATTTTTGAGGTGAATGATATTTCTCTTGCGATAAAAAAGTAGTAATACAAGAAAGATATTTTTCTTTAGCTATTTTAGAAGAAAACGTATGGGTTGCAGTTGTAGTCGAGTTGCACCAGTAATAGAGCCGGTACCTGATGCCATTCTGAAGCCAACAAATCAAAATGATTCTGCAGAAAAAGAAGAAAGGAAAAAGCATAAACGCCCTTTAAGTAATGACCACACACAAGACGATTATGACAATAAACGATTAGTAATTTCTCCTATCAATACACGAGAAACTCCGATCATTGATCGATTACAAAGCGATCATGAATATGTCGAAATCGAAGTTTCTGATCCACAAGCATTCAACGATGCATTTATTCAACAACGTCAAAAAGTAATTAATAATCAATCTTATCGAGTAACAATTCAATCATGGCGTCCGAATTCACTAGCACAATTAGTTAGTGCTATAAAATCTTTATCAGAAAATAAATCATTAATAGATTGTCATTGGATTATTTTCTATTGGATTGCGTGTAATATTGAATACGATGTTGTATCATATTTCAGCAAAAACTATGCCGATCAATCAGCCGAAGGTGTATTTCGTACAAAGAAAGGTGTTTGTGCCGGTTATGCAAATATATATAAATATTTGTGTGATCAATTAAATATATCATGTGAAAAAGTTAGTGGTTATTCGAAAGGTTATGGATTTGATGAACGTGAAGGTGCACCTTCTGAGACCGATCATGCATGGAACGCAGTTGAAATTGATCATCACTGGTATTTAATGGAATCAACATGGGGTGCTGGACATCTTACAGAACAAAAAGCTTTTCAACATGAATTAAACTCTTATTATTTTTTTCCTCGTCCTAATGAAATGATTTATCACCATTTACCGGAAAATGAAAAATGGCAATTATTACGAGAACCAATTAAAATGGAACAATATGTACAATTGCCTAAAATTCATCCTATTTACTTTCAACTGAATCTTAATTTGATTAGTCCACGTCATCAAGTTAATGTTGATCTTCTACCAGGAAAACCATATGCATTAGTTCTTATGCGAGCACCATCTGATGTTCATCTTATAGCAGATTTAAAATTACATAATCAGAAAATTGAAGGTGGTCATCGTCTTGAATTTGATAATAACAAACAAGTGTATTGTTGTTATTTTGCTCCGAATAGTATTGGTAAACATAAAATTACAATTTATGCTAAGCAAGGTGACACACAAGAAGGTACATACAGCGGAGCACTTGATTTAACTCTTAATGTTAATGAAATACCAAAAAATCCAATTAGTTTTCCAGAAATATGGAAGAAATTTTTTGATTTAAATCTAAATATAATTTCACCGAAAAATACACATTTGATCAAAGTACACAATGGACAAACACATGCAGAAATTCTAATTCAAACACCTAACGATGTCGAATTACTTGGGCGACTTGTTGATATTCATGGAGAAAAGATAGAAGGTGGAAATCAAGTGTTTTATGATCGAGATAAAAATCTATGGCAATGCAAATTTGCGCCGAATCATGATGGAATGTTCAATGCTGAAATTATGGCTAAGAAAAAATCAGATACAGCTCTCTACACATCTGCTGTATCTTTTAAAGTCGACGCTCGAAATATTCCAACACCGCCATTATCTTATCCAGTTACGTGGCCACTTTTCTATGAGCTTGATCTTAAAATAGAAGCACCGCGGAATCGTGCAACTGCTATATGGCCTGAAAATGCATCTTACACTGAAATTCGTATGTCAGCACCCAATAATCTTGAACTTTCATGTGACATCATATTTAATGGCAGTAAAAACGAAAATTGTGCATTAACACAATTTGATAATGACAAACAACAGTGGCATCTTTTGTTTGCACCTCAACATACAGGTCTTCATAAACTCACGATTTATGCTCGACGTCAATCTGATTCTCAAACATCGTTCAATGCAGTCGCAGAGTTTGATCTCAACGTTACAAAACTTCGAAAAACAATCAAATTTCCCCTAACATACACTAAATTTCAAACCAATAAATGTCGAATTTATGAACCACTTCATGGTACACTTAAAAGAGACGCTATTTTACCCATCCATTGTGTTATTCCTGGAGCAGATGATGTAGATTTACAAGTTGATTCTCAATGGATGAAGGCAAAAGGATACGAAGACCCCGTTTTAAGAACAGAGATAAAAGTTGGGTCAAAAGATGTAACTATCTATGCGAAATATAAGCAAAATACAAGCTATGATGGACTTGTGCGATATTCTGTTGAATAATTATCATAAACTCCTATAGATTTCAATGCTTTATCACTTTTATAGATTGCTTATATTTTTCTCTTTCTTTTGATTTGAATAAAATAAACATATATAAAAACGCCGTTTTTCATTTGAATTCAAAATTTCTGGTCGTAATCGAATGCTGATGAAATATCTTCAATTTTTAATTAATTTTCCTGATAGTGTAGCCTCAAACTATGCAAAAAGGTCTCATTTTGAATAGATTGTTTATTGTTATTGTATAAAACAGTTGTCCAATGAAATAAATAAATGTCTGTTATTTAATCTATATAGTCTTCATCTTTTATGTAATATCGCCTCGGTTTTGACAATTTATCCCGCTGGATCAGAAATTTTTCGAATGTTTCAATACATCACAGCTGATCAGTAACTATTGAGATCATTTTGATTAATCGACGATTTTATTGCAAGTTTTAGCAGTAAGAATAAATTTACAAAAACAAACATTTTGCTCTTTTATTTAAGTCTATCTCAACGCCAAAATGAGCGTTATTATTATTATTATATATAAATAAGTTGTTTTTTATTTCCAGATGGCGGAAAGTAGACAATTATCTCTCTCGTCATCGACTGGAAATTTGAATGAGTGTGATGAAAGATAAAAGTCGTAAACACATCGTTCGCAACACGTTAAAATATAGTCATAGTCTAGATTTCAGCATTATAACTATGTTTGACTATCATAAAAGTCGATTGAATGATCGCAATTTTCGGTAGCTGTTGAACAAGAAGTCGCTCTGTTAAGTGATTTAATCGCTCTAATAAAATGCAATAAAATCGGCTATTTTGATGATATGAAATGGTAAGCAAATGCAATTATTGAGTAGTATTGTTGATATTGTGAAAATGATATGGGTGTGGGTGTCAATGTGAGTGTGTGTACGCTAGGAAAAGACCTGCACTCATACCCACATCTACCGCACTCTACCCTTCACATACACCCACACCCTCCATGTGAAGAACATGATAATCCGGCAGATTTCATTCTTGATCTATTACAAGGTGATCAATTTTCACCCTTAACTGATGGTCAAAATGATAATGATTCAAATAAATAAAATAATCAAATTGAATTTTTTTTAATAAAAAATATATGAAAATAGATATTTTTAGTTCAATTTGGAGTAAAATATCTGACAAGAATTAGTTATCAAATGGAAATAATAATGAACATATTCTATTAGGGAAAAAATCCCGTTTAAATCACATATGTTGTTTACCTCAATAAACTCTTCATAATTGTTTCCGAGACCCTTCATTAACTATACTACAAATAGTTACTATCGATAGTTTTGGGTCTATTTATTGGTTTAATTTATTTGCATATTAGTCTTACAAGTGATACAGACACTAGAAATCATAGCGCAACTACTTTTTAATAGTCACAAATCAAGTTTTCTCAAATCTTTCAGCATGAAAATTATTTATAAAGGAGCGAATTTTACTTGTTCATGAAAATGTCAGTGGTAATTTTCATATATCAACTTACTTTCTATCAAAAATAATTTGTGATATTGTACCATTGCAAACAGTCCCTGCTATTGAATTTTCAATAATTGTTGATTTTATGATGGAATTTCAAAAAACAGTAGAAAAATTTTTTATTTTGTTCTTTTCTATTTGGCTTACATCGATTGGTGCATCATCTTTATGCTTTCTTGTTTCGACTACTGTATGGAATTTCGGTATTATTCTTAAAATAATTTCATTGAGAGTGAGTGTGGAGTGTGGGTCGAGGATGAACAGGATCCACAGCATCACGCCCACACTCACACTCTATATATATTGAAGTAAAACAACCAAATTTGACAATTATATTCATGAAAGTTCACTGATAGATTGTCATCATAAATAGTTTTGGCTCTTGTTCCTTTCAAAATCAAAGTCGAGAAGAAAGCTGACTAGTCCATGTTGTAGAGCAACTTTCACTCTATCGAACTAGCAATGCCACCATTTTTGTTAATTCCAACTTTCTGATGAACTTTTTCGAGTACTTTTTTTCGTTCGCACGTTGTCGTAGAAGGAAAGTAGGTCCTCGGAGAGATTGCTAAAGTACATGGCTTTTTGTGTACTGGAGGGTGTGGGTGTGGGTGTGGGTGTGGGTGTTTGGGTGGTCTGCTAACCAAGAAGACACACATCCACAGCCACATCCACCCACACCCGTACCCACACCCTCATCTGCTATTTAATGATAACTCGTAGTTAATTTAAAATAATAACGCATAACAATAGTTATTGTATCGACACTGAGAAATGAGACACGTGATAAAACAGTTTTATATTCAATGCTATCGTTAAAATATTGAATCTCTTATAAAAACAACAGCAATGTCATTATACATGGATATAAAATTAAGTTCATGTATAGTAACAATTTCGATAAAATTTACTTCGAAATAATTATCTTGATTTTCAACTAATGTTGATCTATCACTGTTCTTTTTAAAGAAAATTAAACTAAATTCTATTAGATGCATATCCTTGTTGAATAACGAGCAACTAAAGTAAAATAAAAAAACTGCTAATTCATCAGTAGAACAAGTAAAAACAAATATTATACATTAAATGGCATGATCCATTAGTTCAACTTTGTTTATAGAGATTGCTCGATTATATTCAGTGTGAAGAATAGAATGGGTGTGGATTCGATTCAACAGACTATAAACAAAACTACACCCTTACTATACACTGTTGACAGTCTACTCTATAAGAGCATAACAATTAAAACAATCCGCAGTGAATGTATGACTGATATTTTTTACATTTTAACAAAAGATAGTGTAGAAAATATGTTTTAATGTGTTTTCTAATAATGATGTCGATTTTGTATAGCCAATTGAAGATCATAATTCAGTTGTTGCAAATATTTTTTGTCTTGATCGGTTTCACTTTAAAAACTCGAANTAATTTTGTAGAGAATTTCAAGCGCTATCTTTTAGTATAAAAAGATGTCCCGATCTAATGGATAATAGAAGAGTTATACTCAAAATACGAATGGTATAATTTATTCTGGGACACCCGTTATTATATATTGATGATTCATCTAGCTTGATATTATGATCGTATACATCTGTGACCACATATATGCATATTGCTTAGGTAATGAGGTGAGACAGAATTTTAATAAATCAGCGATACTTGAACGACTTTTTAGTTGTCTTGTTGGTCTCTGTAAGAGATGTACAAGAAAAAATTGCAAATATATGAGAAAAGCGAGACTTTAATCTTGTTTTTTTTTTGCACAAAATGACTTAATTGCTTGATGGTGATTTCATTCAGCTTTTTCGAAAAAAAATGAAAAGTTTCATAACATGACATTGACGAGCAAAATGATGATATTTTTTGTTTTATTTTAAGCTAATAGCTCTCTCAAACTTCGATTAACTATTCGACTTCCATATTATCAGATTAATTAAACTCATCAATACGAATAAGATTAGTTAATATCTCGTGAAAAAATACAACAATTGACGTAAATATGAGATGAAAATAAGATAAGGTAGAGTAAAAATAAATATATATAAAAGATAAGTGGACGTATATATCATTTTTGACAACTTCTTAAATCAAAAACATCTTTCTCATTAAACTAATCAATGACAAAGATTAACTTATTCTCGATGGTTTCTGTTATGGTCGGGATAGATTAGTTTAGTGCGATGTAAAAGATAATTGCAAGAGTCGTGCTAATTGAGTGTAGGTGTGATAATCTTTTCTATATCCATATCCAAAAAAATCATTTTACGCTTAAGTATAGTTGTGGGAATGTTACATGCGGAAATATCAATGAACTTGAAATTTTATTTAAAGAAAAAAATCAATTAGTTCTTTGAATAGGATGCAAACAAGTAACATCAGAGGACTCGTTCATAGAATTCGAATTATCTTGTTCTTGACTAAAAATAAATTATAAAACTTTCGAGAAAGCATTCCTAGGTATATTACGTCCTCGTGAGCTGATATTTTACTCATAAATACGCTTCAGTAAGTTATGCAAAGCTTTCAAAAGGTTTGTGTCCTTGTCGAGCTTTTAGTTGTTCAAGTAGTGTCTATGTACGTGAAATTAATGGCAAAAAAAAATATTTTTTTCTTGGTTATTATTAAAAGGGTAGAAGACTATATATCTTTTTGAAAATGAACTTGATAATAACTAGATTATATATCAAACTTCCGAATGCTTTTTCTTCAGTACCATTTTCATTAAAGCATAAACTATTCAACAGGACGATAAGTGCTTGTATTTTTGTCAGAAAATTAAGGTGAAATTATAAAATTTATTATCAGTGAATTTCTTAAGGTTGTAGCGTTACGAAGTCTAATATAATCTAGTTCTCGTTAAGTTCACCTTCAAAAACATTTAGTCTCCTACCCTTTTAGTAGTAACCAAAAAAAAAACATATTTGCCATTACTTTCATGTGCATGGACACAAACTCTTTGAACATTTTTCATAGTTCACCAAGGCCTACTCTTATCAGTTTAGAGGAACGTGGATACCTGGAAATATTTCCTAGTTAGATCTCTTTTCATGTTTAGGTATTCTAATTCCAACAATTTTAGAACATACGATCAATTTCAATAAAAATCATATTTATTTCTATGAAAAAAAAACAAAAAATAATAATCTATAATAACTATTGATTCTGATTGACACATTTCTAATAACCTTTTTTTTTTCTTTACAATATATGAAGTGACACGGATAAAAATTGCACTTCTCTTATGCTATTGATATTGTCCTACAAGATAATCATATTTATTTTGCTCAATTTTACATTTCAATATCGTCTAAACAAGTGTAGAAGTTCAATAGTATTGTATTATAATAAACAAAAAGAAAAATAGAATTTCTTAAAACAATTTTAATCATTCAAAATCTTGTGATTAAATATATAATCAATCATATCTGCTTGTGATCCAAGTAAATTAATCTCTGCATCATAACATGTTTTAAATCGTTCTCTATTTTTAATACCATTGCACATTTTTTTATGATATACATGCTTTAAACCAGGTTCAACAGCACGAAATATATAACATTCAGCTGAAAACTTAACAAATTGTTGAAATAAATTAACATCTTCATCTCCCCAATAATGATTATTTATTTCCCATCCACCAATTCGATCTAAATCTCGTTTACGTACAGCTACATTTCCAAAACCATATATAGAAAATAAACCAGAATCTACTCGTGCATCAATTATTGAATGATTATTAATAACAAACATATTTGAAAAAAATGAATAAATTATTGGAAAATATACTGTACAAGATGATATTGATAATTGATGAATTATTAAACGACGTGTATTAATTAATGATTGTCTTGTAAATATAATATCTACATCAAGAAAAAATAATAATTGATTATTAGAAAAATATTCTGATGCTAATTGTCGACCAAGACCACGATTATATTCATGTTGAGTTTTATTAATAATTGATAAATAAATAGATGATGAATATCTGACTATTAATTGATGTATTTTATTAATTATTGAATTGTTTTGTTGAAAATAAAATATTGTTAAAGTAAAATATTGTTTTTGATAATGATCATTAAGTATTTCATGTTGAAAATTATTAATAAATCTTAATAATGCTTTATCTCTATTACTTGAAACAACAATAATATTTAATTGATATTCTTTTTGATTTAAATCAAGATTAGTTATTTCTCGAGAGTTAATATGATGTTTATCAACGAATGATTGACGTAGATGAAAACGTTTTCGAATAACATTTGATCGAGATGGAAAAATAGAAACTGTACGAACATTAAGTAATACTTCAACTATTAATTCTAAACCATATCGTGGTACAACACGATGATAGCCTAACAGAAATTTACCACTTGTCACTGTCCAATTACTAGAACGTTGATGCCAAAGTTTTTGTAAACGTCCGACATAAGATTGAACAGTTGTATTAATATATGTTTTCCAACGTGCATCAATTGATTGATAATGTGCATCTCGTACGAGATCAAATTCTAAATAATTTAAAAAAGTAACATAAGTTTGTCTATTCGTTGATTTCCATATACGTGTAGATAACTTAGGTTTTCTTTGTTGTTTCTGATGATAAAACTTATATAATTGTTGAAATGTTGTTCGATTTTTAATTGGATGAAGTATGAATGCATGAGAAATAATTGATGGTGTAAAATCAGATCCAAATAAATAATAAGGACCATAATGATGATAAAATAAAACTTTTGAATTAAAAGCATTCGTACAATGAATATGAACATGTGTTAAAATACATCGACCTAATTCAACATCTTCGTGATTAGTACGAAGTTCTGATTTAAAACATTGATCAAGCCAAGGTCCTAGTTGCATAAGAGTTTTTTGAGAAAGAATTACTCCACTTCCCCCCATACAAAAATACTAAAAAATAAAATAAAATAAAATTAGAAAATGAATTTTTTTTTATTACTTTTCCTGGTGAAAAATAAATAGTAGATTCACTTTTTCTTCCTGTTCCACCTTGTCCTATATATAAAGCTCGTCGATAATCAATTGATTTAAGCCATTTAACTAAATCTGGAATATTAACATAAGCATTATCATCTAAACGTAATATCCATGATGTTCTATGACGATAATATGTATAGAGAAATTTCATAGCATAAAAACTTTTCTTCTGTGGTGGATATTCATTTTCTACATGTTTTAATTTAACAATAAAAAAACATGATTGAATATATTTATTTGTTTTTAAAAATAATTTTTCTATAAATTCTTCTGTACCAGAATATTTTTCTTCAAGAAATATAATTATTTCAATTTCAATTGTTGCTGTTAATAACCATGTTTCAAATATAGCTGGTAAATATTCAAATAAACGTTCATGTGATGATAAAACAGCAATAGTTAAAAATATTTTTGATGTTTGATTTTGACATGTTTGAATTGTTCGATATTGAAAATGATTATAAAATGAAAATGATCTTGTTATTAGTGGTTTTGAAGGAAATGATAAAAAAGATGATGGAGAACAATCATTTCCAAGAATGAATGCCCAATAATGTAAACCAAGAAAAAAACCAATATAAAAGAAGCATAATATTAATAAATAATAATTACAATGATTGAATGCTGTACGCGACATTCATCGTTTATTATACATAAAAAATAACTATTATCGTAATTATTTGTCTAGAATTATAATTAAAAGAAAAAAAACGAAATGTTTTTCATCAATTAACCAATTTTTATTAATAAGATTTGAAGAATTTACGATCTTATATCAAAATACCTTATGAGAATATTTTAAAGATTAGACTTGAAAATGAATTAAAACAGTTTATCAGGCAGATGTTGAGAATTTAACTAATATATTTCTAGTTCGATAAGCTCTCGGGCAAGTGAAAAAATAACTCTAAGTAATTGAATGCTGATCTTGAAAAGATAACGTGTACATGAGTTTTTTTTCTCTATGAAATATAATTCAAGCCATATGATTTATTTTGTCAATAAACGTCGCATATTTTGGTCTTCAGTCAAGAGTTTTATTTCAATTGAAATGATATATAAGATGAATTGTTGACAACGATGTTTGATTCTAATCCGATCAAGTTTTATTTTTCGATCTTCTATCCATAAATTATTATAATGTTTAACATAAATTGTTCTTTTTTTTTAAAAAATTATATTCACATACAAATATATTGTTTATGTTAAACAAGTTACTTTTTAGTCAAGGCTTTCTTTACAATTTGACATCGAAATTACTACTCGCATATTCTTCGTATATTATCGACCTGCCTTACCATATAATATGTTGTTCTTTATTCCATACTAATCTATCGCTTGTATAACATTAACTCTATTTTTCTCTTTTCTTGCTCTCATTTTATACTAATATTGAGTTAGTGAAAATGAAGAAAAAAAAACGAAATAAAACACTATGTGCAATCATTTGATGTTAATTTCACTTCTGAATCAGATTACTAACCTTTAAAAAAAAATCAAAAAATAATTACGATCATATATATATATATATCAAAAGAAATTAAAGAAGCTTTATTCTCTACGGTAGTACTTCTTAAAAGTATTGACGAACAAAATAATAGAATCATGATTTCTACAGATGCCTCGTCGGTTTACCTGAGTGAAGAGAGTCATATAAAAGAAAACGAATAACAACCATTCTTTAACTAATCAAGGACTTCAGAAAAACGAAAGATTGAATATAAGAAGAAAAAAAACGATTAAATTACATGTTTGTTGAAAAAGCAAGAGAACATGATTGCGATTACTTGATCCATACAATATAGAAACACATGCATATCACAGATATATATATAGATATATATACATTGAGTAGTAATGCATGATTTTTTGTTTACTTACATTGAAAAAGAATATTTACTAATTTATTCATAGATGAATAATACATAAGAAAACATGCGAAATATAAACAACATTGTACTTAACACGTTTATTTTCTTATTTTCTTTGAATCCTTACTTCATTTATTTTAGACAAGAATATTAACTAAATCTCTACTATAAAACACAAAAGACAAAAAAAAAAAAAAAAAAGAGAAGAAAATTAAAAATTAATTAAGTCTACAATAATATTTTGTTTTGCCTAATTGTCATCCTTAATTAATTTTTCAGCTACTTGTGAACGATATAATTGAAAAGCAACCATACCACGCATACCTCTTGTCTCATGTTCGATACCTGGTGACCAAGCTCGACATGTTATACTAATAAGACGATGTAAGGGTAAGTTTTTAAATTGAACTAATACAAATGGTTGAACATGATCACGAGCATTTCTATGATATTAAAAAAATAGAATGAAATCGTTTTTTCTTTTCTTTTATTTATAAAAGTTTACCGATATGGAAAGTAATAATTTGGTATAACACCATATTTTGAAGAACCAGATGGTTTTTCCAATGAATAATATACCATCTCAGTTTGAGCATCCCTATCAGATGGATTCTATTTTTATAAAAGAAAAAAACAAAAAAAAAACATAATTTAGATGACATGTTTGATTATGATTTATTGAAAAAAGAAATTGACTAAAAACAAAATAAAGTTTTGCTGAAGAATAAAATAAATCATTATTACTATTATTTGATAAATGTATATCTATTTAAAAGGAAGATCAAATACATTTTATTTATAACATACCGTTCCATCACATGTGATATAAACGTCAGGCTTTGCTATACTTTTATTATTATGGATATTTCGAAGACCTTGTATATGTATTGGTAGAGGACCTTTCGTTGGTGTCCATCCATAGACCTATAAACAATTAATTGTTTTTTTTTTTTGAATAAAAACATAAACTATTAAATACTTTATTTAATTTAACAAGAACACATGGTTCTTCATGTTTAAAACCATACATATTATTATCCGAACATGGATGATCTTGTGTACTAACAATATCAAACCAACTAAATGAACATGCTGTACCGGGTACTAATTCTGATGCTGGATCGAGTTCTGTACATGGTTCTGCTTTGGCATCAGTTTTTTGAATAAGATAAACTAACAATGAAAATAAAAGATATTTTTCTTTTCAGAAAATCAAATACAACAATTAACTAACCATCACGATATAATCGAAGTGATGAAGCAATACGTTTTTGTTCATACAGATCATTTGATACTCGAATAAGACTATCATCAACCATTGGTTGAGGACGAAAACCCATTCCAACTATATAAAAAGAAAAGAATAAAGAGAGAAAAAAAATCATAAATATTTATTTTATGTTTTTTTTCTACAAACCAACAGTAGCTGTTGTTCGTACAGCCATTGTACTATCCTTATTATAATATGTTGGTACTTCACGATCAAGTATCAAAGCAAATACATAAAGTAAAATAACGAAAAACATTCCCAAACAAAAATAAAATACTGTATAAAATGCAGCTAATCTAGCTAAAATATATAAAAAAAAAGAAAAGTAATGTCTTTGATTAACTTTGATTTCTATTTACCCCAATTAAGAGAACTGCGACCAAGAAATGTTTTTCTACGTGGATCAAACAAAAAATTTTTCTTTGTTTTTTCTAATTTTTTCTTTGTTTGAATTGTTTCTTCATTTTCAACACTTAATTTTTCTCTACGCACATTAGGTTTTGGAACTTCTGTATAGGGACTTGGTGGAAGTACATGAATATCATTTGAATTTTTTTTATATCGAACAACTTTTTCATCCATTTTATCTATTTTGATCAAATAGAAAAACGAAAAAGAAACATTTTAATATTTTACAGCAAAGAAAAAAACAAACCAAACTCACTTTCACGAGGAAATGTTTCGTTCTTGTTTTATATATGATTGCAAATGAAAAGATGATAACGTTAGTACGAATGTAAGTGTATTCAACCGTAACCAAAATATATGCATATGTTTACGTTTTATACATTCTTTTCTTATGTTTATATACAGAGGACATACACGATATGCATTAATATACGAAAACGAGAGGCAAACAGTATTTTTTTTTTTTCGTATAGATAAAACACAGAAAAAGAATACGTCCGTTGTTTGAATATCGAGGATTATATCATTATTAAAAACATTATTTTTTTTTATTGTAATATTAATTATTAACATATGTATTTTATGCATAAGACAATGAAGATTGTTATTGTGATACATGAAATATTGGTAATGATACAGAAAAAAATTCTTCTGAGATTTTCTTTTTAGATAATCAGAAAATATTGAGCATTAGTTGGTGCTCTAACTTTGATAAGTTAGGAATAAATTATCTATTATTCTCTGTATTTCGATTTTTTTTTTGAGTTTATTGTTTATATCTGAGTATAAATGTCAAAAAGAAAAAGAATTTAATTTTCTGATAAATACATCATCTTTCTCTAAATCTATACAACAAAAATAAATAATCTGAATAAATCATGAATAGCTTTCTATGAATATTTTAGCTTAAAAAGTTAAAAAATATTGAATTCTTCATGAAATGAAATTACCACCATATGATATTGATTTCTGCAATTCATAACATTTAAATATTATTATAATTTCTCACTAAAGTAGAACTATATTTAAAACATTTTAAAATGAATTCTCTCTTTATGAGAATTTAAAAAAAAACCGAAGCAATCGTATGGTATATTATGTGTTGTTTTATTTAGATATTTCAGTACAAAAACTTTGCTTTATGATTCATTTTGATAGCTCGTTACATTTTCTTATGACAACAAATTATTAATTAATTTTCATATATATATATATATATCATAGGAAGAAGAGAAATTTGATGAGTTAAAAAAAAATAGAGCTGGAAAAAAAAGTGTGATAAGCAATCAAGCATGACCTTCCTAAATATTTTATATATTGATGAAAAAAATCATGTTTTTCCGACATGCAAGTCTATAAATATGAATATGGATCATGGCTTTCTTCAATTTTTAGAAAAAATATCGAACGAGAAGAATAAGAAAAACAATTTAATTGAGAATTTTTTATTCGTTAGATTATTGAAAATATATTCTTTAAATTTTGACACATCTATCGTAAGTATAAATATAATTTATCTGATTATTAAGAGAAAAAAATATCAAACAAATAATAATTAAAGTCTAGAAGTCAACTGTATCTTTTCTGACTAACTATGGAATGTCATGTACTATAAGTTAAAAAGATTGATCATATTCCAATCAAAGGAATACTTTCATTACCAAACAAACTAATTAAATTCGAGTTTTAAGGTATTTACAGTCTATATCATATGATCACACTTCAAAAATTTTAGCTTTTCTTGTGATGGTTGGATAGAGCTCGATGAATTATATAAGAATAAACAATATCACACGTATTCAAAAGACGATCGTACAACAGTCAGAATTTTGTATATTTTACTGTTATATTTAACAATAATGGTATCTTCAGCTTGTTTCTAAAATCATGACGAAAAAAGAAAAATAAATGGTGTTTAAATTTTGAAGTGTAAATATGTGATCTTGACTGTAAATGTTTTGAAATTCAAATATCTTCATCCATACATGCAATGAGCAACATACATTTTAAATTAGTTCATTTGGCAGTAAGAGCATTCATTTAATCTGAATATAAGGACGTGGATGTGACATCCACATCCCATAAACACTTTCTAGTGTAACTTGAAGAAATTTTTAACGATGTCATACTAATCTTTTTTTATTTGAAAGGCAAGAGAGAGAAAAAAACGAAAAAGTGGGTATCCCAAACAGTGTCTACTATCTGTAAAAACGTTTTCAGCTTCATCAAACATATTGCGAAGTGGGTGGGCGATAAGAGAGACTATTAACTCTAAAAGCTTCATAACTTTCTGATGAGTGGTTATTCGGAAAAAGATGTAGTCCTCTTACGACTAGCCAATTCCTAGGAAAAAAAGTGAAATTTGTTTTTATCGTTGCTTCTAAGATGATATTTAACATATCAAGAAATGTTTGTTTTCATTCCCACCCTATTGCAAAGATTCATTTCATTACATAAATTGAATTCATAATCGGAGGGCAAATTATGCATAAAAAACTCGTCATTTCCTTTTAGCTGCACACATCTTACACTAAACGATTTTAATTTCTTCATGTCTCAAACACTTTGTGCCATAAATAAATGTAAACGAATATCACGTGCTCTTTGTCATTGTTGTAATCAAGATATATGTTTATTACATTTAAAAGAACATTATGATATAATACTTGCACAATTAAATCCATTAACAGATGAAATAAATGCAATAGATAATCGTCTAATTGCAATTGATATCAAAGATTTAATTGAAGAATGTCGTAAACAACTTGAAGAATGGCGTGATAAATATTATAAAACTATTGATAATTTATTCGAACAAAAATATGATGAGCTTGAACAAATGATAATTAATAAAGTTGATAAACAAAAAGATGGCATTAGTTTAACACGAAGAACTATAACTAAACTTATTGAAGAACAAGAAGCATCTCAACAAGACATTAATTTAATAAAAACAGAAATTCATCAATTTAATGAAAATGTAAACAATATTGAACATACATCTTTTCACATCAATATTCAACCATTATTAATTGATGATCATATAATTCAAATTCAAGAAAAAGCAGATCTACACTCAGTTCTGTCTTCAACATGCAAAACAATCGATTTCTCTGGAATAAAATCTCCAATTATTGGTACCAATGATCGATATTTATTATTTCATCAAAATTTATATTTATGTTTGATTGATTATAATTTTAAAATAATTAAAAAACTTCCTTGGCATTTTGAACGAATACAAGATATATGTTGGTCATCAACATTAGGTCGATTTATTTTAACAACTGAAACTTGTGGTATTTGTTTTGTTCATGAAAATACAATTTCATTAGACAATGCAAATTGTCTTAACAACGAAAAATTTCATTCTTGTACATGTTCTAATACATCTTTATATTTAACTGTTGATGATTATGCTTCAGCAATAATAGAATATCGTTTATTACCATCAATAGAAATTATTAAACAATGGAAATCTCCTGATACATGTACAAACGATGAATATATTGATTGTATACGTTATAATAATGATAGACTTGGTTTAGTTATTCAAAAATTTCCTGAAAATATATTAAAATTTGAATTAAGATCTGTTAAAACACTTGATCGATTATGGTCTATTCAAGTTAATATAGATTTAAAACCATATCAATGTGGATACTGTTTATTTAATGATCATGATTGGTTATTTATTAATATGAGTTCATCATGTATTTTACATATTACAAAAGATGGAAAAATAAAAGAAAAATATGATTATAATCCAAAACCATACAATGCTACTTTATTCGGAGACAATAAATTAGCTATATTAACTGAAAGTGGTGTCAACTTTCATAAACTTTAATTGAATCTATAGAAATTTTATCTTGTTTAAAAACACAAAATTCATATAATCTTGAAATCACTTCAAATAATATTGATTTATTTCAATGAGAAGGAAAGTTTATTTAAATCAAACGCTATTGTTTTTTTTCTCTTCATTTATTTGTCAATAGGAATGTCATATTAAGATTAGTATTCAAATTAGCATTAGTTTCAATTCTAATACGTTTATTATCTGCCATTAAATCTCTTAGAATTCATCCTCAAAAGTTTCAAATAATAAACAAAAGTATTGTACTATTAGGAACATTTGAGATTGAATTCTAAGAAAGTCTAATCACAGGTAACAAATGTATTAGAATTAAATATAATGCTAGCATCTTAGTATTCAATTAATGTTTATACTTATTCTAATATGATGATCATAATTGTCAAAATGATCAAAAATTTTACAAATTCAAGTTGATATGTGTTAAATCTTGATTTCAACATTGTAGGTTAAAAGAATATCTACTAAGATGTTTATGAATAATATTTTTGAATTAAAAATCAAAATAAAAAGTGGGAAATACATAAATTAATAATTGATTTGATGTAGGATTTTTTCTAATATTTAGAAAAACGAGAAATTCATATATTTTGAATTAATGAAATTTTAAGGAGAGTTTATTTAATATTCAAAAACAACACTTGTAAATCGATGTTTAATCCGTCATGAAAGTTCAAGGAGTCGTCAGAGTATTTCCGATAATTAAGTTCGCCCTCTAGAAGAGAAAAATCTCGATAAAACACTGTTATAAATCATTTGAACTTTTGACAATTTGTTTTATGATATGGACGAATAAATAATTCCAAAGCTTCTATTATTTTAGTATGACTTATATTTCTTTAACAATAAAAATGTACTGAGTTTAAATTCTAACATGCAGTTGATCTAGATGGTTCATACATTTACTATTCATATCAACATTTACTAATATGTATTTATGTGAGAAACAAATATTTCTTGAGGGAATCAAAAACTTATTTTGTACTCTTTACAAGAAATGTTGTCGAACATATTTTCAAAGCTTGTTATGCTTTTTTTACATGATGAAGATGATATTAAAAACAAAACGACGGAAATGTGTTTTCTGTAAATGACATTTTGATGTTACTTTTTGCCACTCTATAAGCAACATGGTATTTGTCAATCACTTTCAATCTATCTTCATTGAATGGAGGCGTTATTCTAAGTCGGATTATCCATTGTAGAAAGAAAGTGCCTACTATAGTCTTTTTCTGTATTTTTGTTTTATAGAGTTGATTGATACTGAAGGTCTAACGAGTAGAACGAACAATTGATTCTAGAAGACTGCCTGCGGTAATAAGATCATTAACTATAAGAATAAAGCAAGTTTTAAAAGAAAAAGAAAGAAGAAAAAGAACAAGGACAAAAGCAAAGTATAAAAATCTTCTCATTTTCTTGTTCCTCTCTTCATATTTACAATCTAACGCGTACAGACAAACACTTTCTGTCTTTATATTGTAATTTAAATTTTCAAAAAGTTATGTCTCATCATAGGTTATTATTATCGATATGTCTGACAATATTCTTATTACAAATATCATATCTTCATTGCATTTCAATAAATTCTGATATAAATAGTCATTTGATTGATGAACATTATGATACTCAAAATATAAAAAATCCTCTACTTCATCTATTTAAAAATACTCTTGATGAACCAAACCCATACAAACAAACATTTTTATTAAATCAATTACGTGAATATCTCAATCGTATGTGTGTTTTCGGTTATTTTGGATCATCACGTGCTCATGCATGCCAAGGAATAGCTGATATTATTTATCAACTTGATAGAAAACAAGAAAATAATATTAAATTTACTGATGATCATACAAACAATGAAAACCATAGTATACAAAAACGTTTCTTTTGTAATGGTTTTATTGGTTGTAAAAAAGTTGGTCGATGATCATTCACAAATGAAAAACAAAATGAACATTCCAACAAAATCGTCAGAATATATGACAAATGTTTATTAATTTAAAAAAATTTTTATTTCGAAAATAAAAAGAAATTCCAATTGGTTGTTTATGAAAGTTTTCATTAACTATGAGAGATTTTTTTTTTGTCATAGTCATAGTTATTCAACAAAAAATAGTCATGTTTTACGTATTTTCAAGATTAATTGTATTCAATAAATGAGCTATTCAAAATCAGGAAGCAATGACCTTGTTAAGTTTGAAAGTTCATTATCATAAGTCGCAGCGGAAGAAGAACATATTACAATGAGCAATTGTAAGAAATAAAAATAGACGAACTAGACATCATTGTTTTCGTGTATAAAAAGGTTTTATGAATAATTAAAATAAATCCTTTCGGAATATTAAACAACGAGGGTCGAATGAAACAGAATGAATAAAATCCTTTTAGTGGAAAATATAATAACAAAAAAAAAAATACAAAACAATACGTTGTTATATTTTTGTCGATAACAATCGATGATATCGAGGAAGTAATTCAATGAGTTGATAAACTAATTGAGTATTTATAAATTCAACTTATTCTTATTCATATTTTATGTAATAAACTCTATTCTTCGTTCAATACTATATTACGGCCTAATATAAAATATATAGGTTTTACTAATCTAATGATTTATTCAATAGTAATACCAATCATGAAAGCTGTTAATGCAATGCCTCGAAAATTAAAATATGAAATACAATGTAGCTAGTGTTGCTGATCACAGAGAGATCATTTTTATTCAATCTATTTTAGGACATATTTCTTCAGCATCCTTTTACGTAATCTTTCACAAATGCAATAAGAAAGTAGTTCTTATGATATAACAAGACGTTTTTCATATAAGGTCTGTGGTTTTATGCCAACAGCATTTGTTTCAGTCTGTGGATCCAAATTTGCATCCCTATACTTCAACATCCTTTTTAAACGATGTATCAAAAATATATATATATAGACAAATAATTCGAAAGAATAAATCGTAAAATTCATAAGAATGTTTTTGGAAAAAATCGATGGTTTTGAGAATTCATATGTGATTTGTTATAATATATTGTCATTGATTAAATAAGAAAAGTAAGATAAGGTGATGCTTATCTACTGTCTACTCATAAGTGCTTCAACAACTTAAAATGCATGCTGAAAAAATATCATTTTCAGTCTTTGTATGTGTAATTGTAGCTTACTGGTCTATGCTTGACATAATCAATATAATAACTATTTGTTCTGACTAATATCTTTATTATAGATATCATGTTCATGAAGGAATGAAATTACAAATTTTACGTTTATTCATTCTTCATTCCATTTTATACCACACCCCGCGAAAATTCTTCGCGTGGATATAAACTCGAAACCTTTTTTTCGTTTCGTGCCAAACTCAAAAAAAACATACCGTACGGAAAGTATACAATCTGCTTCACTTCATGGATCTTTCAAAAAGTTTTATGTATTTCGTATGAAGCTGGAAAAAATGTTACAAGTTTTAATCCGCGCAAAGAAATTTTTTTAGAGTGTGCTGCAAATATGTGCAATCATTTTTCTTTTCTTTCTTCCATCTCTCATTGCCAACTTTATTGCTACAGAAATAATTAAGTTTCTTTAATGGGGAGGAATTGAGACATTAAAGAGGGTCCATGCACGCTCAACTAACGTCTTTATCTATTATTCGTTTAAAGTAATAAAGAAAGAAGTGCTCTTCTAAATTTTATTTTTATCTTCTTCTTACTGAATTTCAATTAAACGGTTACTCGCACAATCTCAATTAATGTTATTCTCTGTGAAGTTTCAAAAAATTAAGCACTTATAATCAAATGCGAAGATTCTCATATCCACCCACCCATCTTCCTTTTCTTTTTTATCTTCCAGACAGATGAAATCTAGTTTATTCTGTTCTCACGCGCACTAATTACGTATTGATTTGTTGTACTCTCGCTACAGGATCTCTGTCAAGTTACATATAAAATGAAAAGGTGAACTAGTCGTGTCAAACGTTACCATACCTCTGCAAGACAACATATTGTATGGTAACTCAATGGGGCCTGGTCCCATGGCATTACTTACAGCATAGTACAATTTTTTCTTTAGACTGGACATACGGCGCGGGAAGAATAAAATTACTATCATTCGGAAAACTGGATCTTTGATGACGTTAGATGCTATTCATTACTTCGCAGCTGCAATCATTTTGTTTTCTCTGTCTTAATCTATCAACAACTGCGAGCGATTTAAAGTACGCCAAAAAGACTTAAAGGGTGGAATGTGGGTGTGTTTAGAGGTTTAAACTATATATCATCTACATCCACCCACCCACACCCCATATGAATCACGGCGTTCTTTGACATTTCAGACGCCGAGAATAATTCATATGAGCAAGTGTATGACTCAAAAGTGTGCAATTACAATGTTGTTCTAATTTGATTTTTTTTTGACGAGCTGTTGCATCATCATTGTATGAAGAAGGGAAGAAAATACATACCTGATTTCTGATCGTTGACGCAATATTTGGAAATTTTTGAAATTTGTTTCATGCGCTGTGCACTATATTCAGAAAAGAAAATACTCAGGAGTACATGAGTCAAGCAGCATGACGAAACACAGCGTAATGTTGTTAATATGAGAGAATGAAAAAGGAACTGTTTAAGAGTTGCGAGTGCTCTCTATACTCTGCATAATTTACTTCACTTTTTCGCATATGGCAACGGAAACACGAAGGAGCTCTGACAGTGAAGACGATAATATATCTGATCATGATCAATGGCTAAAAAGTGCTAAAGACTATTCCACTTTATATAATTATGACAACAACCTGTCTGATAGCGAAGGATACCCGTTTCGTAAAGTATTTTCTAGAGAAATATTCGAGGAGAACTATACGAATGGTAACTATTTTGCTGTTGAATATCCAATATGGCAATATTATCAAGTTTGTGGGAAGAAAAGCGCGACAATCCGTTATGAATTATTAAGAAAATTCAATAAATTGAATAAAGAGCGACAAGATTTTCATGACTATCCGTCACCAGTTGAAGATATTATCGATCCGGATCTACTAGTTTACAAACCTCATGGAATAATACAAAACTCTAATGGATATTATGAAGCATCAGAATCCCAGTCTCAGTAAGTACTTTTATCAACTCATAAAATATTATGTTTAAGGACTCATAGGAACTAGCGAGTCTTGCTCGACTATGAGGTGAACACTTATCACAGAGTAGGCAAAAGGACAGAACTATACACGTGATGGGCTTGATACCGTAAAAAACATCACATATTTTAAAAGGACTTATTACTTGTCCTACAAAGAATTGAAGGATGTTTTTTCGAAAGAGATTCTTCATCTGAAAATGAAACATATCCAATTGTGAATCAGCTATCGAAGTGATATTTTGCCCATAACTAGAACCTAGTGAGACTAGGAAAAGACTGCAGTGATTCGTCGCCATACGTCTTCCTTCTTAAGTTATGACCGTTTTACCAGATTTTCGGCTTATGACAAGCTATACTTGGAGTTGTAGCCTAAACGGATACTTTCTTCTTGAAATATTCAATGTTTACAAAATCAGAGAAATGTCACCAAAAATCTCACAAAAATGATTTTTCTTTAGTATTTCATATCTCCGAAATGAAGCATCCGTTTTGGCTAGAACACTCAGCATATCCTAAAGATTATAAGATTTATTTATGGGCAAAATTTCAACTGAAAATGTCTTCTTTCTGATTTTTTCATGAATATCCTGTTATAAGCTGAAAACCAGGTGAAATAGTCATGACTCCAGAAGAAATATGTGGGGGGGGGGGGGGGGGGGGAGGGAGTGGGGGCCTTTCCTATTCCCCCGCGGTCGTTTNTACAACTCCAAGTATAGCTTGTCATAAGCCGAAAATCTGGTAAAACGGTCATAACTTAAGAAGGAAGACGTATGGCGACGAATCACTGCAGTCTTTTCCTAGTCTCACTCAGTCATATTTGTGGGTATGGTTTTGTTCATCAGTTTTTAGTCTATTAATATGTTCAATTAAGAAAACAAATTCTATTAAAAGATACAATATGAAAATGTTTGCAACTTACATAGATGATTTTATTGTAGACTTGCACTTTTTGCTTTTAAATTGTATAAAATTTTGAGCGACCTAATTTGGACCGTGCGAATATCGGTCACATAGGCTTCCGCTTTCTTTTGAAAATAAAAGTATACAATTACAAAAAGCTTGATGTTAAATATTGTAGGACTTTTCGTCCTACATCTTCTAGTGTAATGTTTTTCTTATTGAACTTACTAAACCACGGAAAATTCATATATGAGACCCGGCTATTATATCCAGCTCACTCATTATCAAGTGTACCGATGATTTATATTGAGTTATGCTTATTTGTGAGTGTGAAAAGCCATGGATAGGTGGTGTTTTCAAGTATCTATTGAAGTGCACGAAAGTCAAATGTAAAACGCCATTGCTTTAAAATATAGAAGTTTCTTGTCGGTTAGGTTTGAATTATACGTTTTTCTCTTGTTCAAAGCTGTTAGAAAAAACTGATGAAGGCGAGTATTTATTAACACACGCCTGACTTGACTGCTTTTAGGTCACTATGACAAAATATTTAAAACTACAGAATTTGACCTATATGAAAAGAATTCCAATTTGACTTGCTGGATCTAATCATCTATGGAGCCCAAGCTTCTCAATTAGTAGAATTATCACTGTCAGTCTTAATGTCTTGAACTCGATATCGATCTGAAAACGATTTTGCATGAATTTATCTAGAGTAAATTTTCTTGTACTATTGTATTTCATCGATATTCGATCTTTTATTTGTTATTTTCTGTAGACCGGTTTTCTCGATGTGTTTTTTTAAACTTCTAATCTGTCCTAAGAACCTAGGATGGATTTTTCAAACTCGTGAAAATCAGCATTGACAAAAAGTTATGGGGGGGTAACTGAGACTACTTAACTCGATCAATGACTCTCGGTTTAGTCTCGGCCTCAATGCATCACTAGTTCAATCTCCTCTATTAGACAGATTTAGTTTTTATTCGACATTTTATATTTGGTCCAATTGTAATTATTATTTCATAATCTTGTTTTAAGACCACGGTATCACAGTGAAAAGCTGCCATTACGCAGTACTTACCAATGGATACCAAGTGATTTTCGTATCTGTTCTTCTGCTTCAAATGTTAATGGTTTGGTTGAATACAAAGTACATATTGAGACACCAATCTCGCATTTACCGATGAATGAAGAATATGAACAGACATATCGAAATTTGGAGAAAATATTTGAAAAAATTGTACCGATGTTTAAAAAGCTGAATGTATTGAATTCTGGCAATGTTGATACACGTCTACAAGTCATTGTAAAAGTGCAAAGTTATAATATAAAACCAGGTGAGCTTCAGCGTCTTAGATTTTGAAATGGAATTCCTTATTTTTTTTTGCAAAGAGTTTTATAGGACTATTTCAATTCAATTTGAAGACAGCTCAAACATTGTAAAATCCACATTCGCAACTAAGAAACAACGTTTTTCGAGTGTCTTCTTTTTTCATGAAACCTAATTGTGTAGAGCTTTTTACCTAAGAAATATATGAGAATATGTGTCAAACCGCAGTGAATCTTAAGTATGACAATTACTCTGTAGATATTCCAGTGTAAATAGCAGTAAATTAGAACAACTACTGATTGTTTCTTCGATGAACTATTCTCAAAATTTTCTCTTTCTATAAACTTACAGGTATAAAATATTCTGGTCGCTGGCATACTGAAGGTTATGAAGAGGGTATTGTAGCTGTTGGTGTTTACTATGTTCACATTGATGATAAACTTGAAGGTGGTGCACTCAAGTTCCGTCCTGCAAAACTGCCCTATGCAAACTATGGTGGTGAAGGTAAACCTGAGTTGTTAGATGATGGTCCTGGATATTATAGGTCTGTAATAGAAAAACGAGAACCACGTCATTTACGGAGTCACTTTTACGAAGATGTCAATCGTTACGTGATACCACAAACTGATACTGCTATTGTATTTAGTAATTCATTACCGCATCGTTTTTGTTCAATCCGGAATCGAACGCAAAGATCTAGACGACGTACATTTCTTAATTTCTTCATTGTCGACCCGTGTCAACCGATTTTACGATCCCCTGAATTAGAAATCAGTAATCTAATTCTTGTCAGTTATGAAGCCTGTTACAAACTATTGAGGAAGACATGTGTTCTAAATAATGCAAAGTCAGAATGTAAACAGGAATTACCCGACGTAGTTATTGAAAAGATTCTCACTCTTCTCAGCTTAATTCAAAATCTATGGCCAACTGATGTAGATTCAAAAGAATTTCGTCGATGTGTTCGCTGTGAAATGTGTAAACAGAAGCCAAGTTGGAAAGGCATTAGCTTTGGAAATTGGGGTTATATTGATTTCATTGTATATCAGAAACATACTTATGGTTCAGAAAGTGAACATCTTTTTACAACATCCACAGATACAAACAATACAACAGGGACAGACTCTAACTAATCTTCTGGATGGCATCCTTTTTTGAGCTATTATAAAATTTAAATTTCTGTCATATCTACATGAACAGTTTTTGACGCCGAAATTCATTTTCATGTTGGCTGTGGATGCACACAAATAAGGGATATAGCCAAGGGGGTGTCTAGATACCCTGGGCAACCTCTTTGAAGAAAAACTGTCTAAAGGGAAGTACAGGACTAAAACAACTATTCACATGGTCAAGGATTTTCTTTGCTGACGGACACCGCTCCCTCCCTTTCCTTAAACATTTCTGGCTACGCCCCTGACACTAATACCAATTCAAGACTCATATTCGTAAAACAAGCGATAGAATCTTGAATTTTAAAAAAATCAGTATCATAAGTCTCAATAAAAGCATTTCTCCAGAAGAGCAGTACTCGAACAATAAAGTCAGACATGAACGATGAATATTTTAAGATAACTCATTAAGAAATACAGGGTGACGCAAAAGTAACAGGACAAATAATTTTTTCGATTTTTTTATTGAACATAATAAGTTAAGGCTCATATTGATGCCACATATACTAGGTGACATAATTCAAAGATGCAGCATGTGATCAGTGCATAAGTGAAGTAATTTGTTAAAAGCATACAAATACATGGCGACGAAAAGAAAGGAAACGCGTTTGACAATTATAGATTAACTATCTCAACATATATTATTGTGAATCCTCTACCGGTATACGTAAGTAATGTTAGCACCGAATTCGAGTATTTCTTGTCCAGATTCGCCTGCAGGTCTGTGCAAACTCAAAAGTCGGCTGTGCTGAGTGTAGAATTCGATTCTCTATCGAATGATATAAGTTTCAGACAGCGTCGTCGACCAAAAAACGGGGTCTTTCCCAAAAATACTGATTTTATCTCCGCGACAGTATTTCGCAAAACAAGTGATTTCTGTTCGGATTCGCCTGCACGCCTGTGCTAATTTTCTCCTTGATTGTGCTAGATGCAGATTTGCACGCTTCATCCGACGGTATAGGTTGGGGTGTGGGTGTGAAGTATGTGTCATCTTTCAACCTACACACACCCACACACACACCCTGAATTGAAAATTTTGCTTGTCAGAGCTACATCAGACATATCATTTCCTTTCGATGATAAATCATAAGTCAGGAGTTATAAGCAAGCTCTTGAAAGGCCTGAAAATAAAATATTAGCGAAAATGATTTCACCAACTCATCCTTAGACAGAGAATGAAACTGCATTCTGTTGGAAATTAATTTCATGCTGTGACTCAGTGATTTTTCTTGTAACTATTGTAAAAACGCTGGTTCGGTTTAACCGACATTCTTTTCTTTGACTACATCACGTTTTTTATTTTTTTTACGATCAGAATCGGGATAATAGATTTACTTTTCACCAACGATGTCCTTTATTGCATACGTTCTATTACCGTAGTGTCAAGCTTGAAAGTTGAATTCAACTATTCAAGTTATTCCATAGAATCCACTAACATACACTTCACTGTGTACATAGAGACATGTATGAGTCGCAGCGCTGATATAAAAGGTTAGTTACGTGAGCAAAGGATTTTTCACTCAGTCGGTTCTGCTTTCAGTAGGATTTGCCTTCATCTACCTCTCCGATATTCTCTGCCCCGCCCCCCCCGCGTTTGACTCTTCACCTCCCGCCCCACGCTCGCTTCGCCCCCCNAGGTTTGCCTGTGCAAACAGTATACTCGAAAAAACGGAAAATAAGTTTTTAAAAGCCTTATTTTTTTTAATATGGAGGTTCAGAAAAACTGATGTAATATTCTTAAAGCTCAAAATAAAATCAATCAACTATAGTGCATTCGAGAGTAGACACTTTGCTCTATCTAATGAGTTATAAATCACAAAATCGATAAATTTGACCAAAATTGATTTTTTGAGGAGGGGGGGCTTAACACAAAAAAAAAATAAATGATTGTATATTTAGGATAAATTACGAATATTATTATTGGGTATATGTGAATATTTAGAAGATTCAAATGAACATGCATTACAAGCTGCACTTGGTATAAATAATAAATTTTAATTTTATTTTGATTTAAATGAAATAATTCTAGATCAAATATGTGATAAATCTGAATTGGATAGTGATTCAAGAACTGATCTTGAACGCGCATGTTATCTATTTATTAAAGCCGTATGATTAAGTTTTGTTTATTTTGAGAAAGAAAACTGTTAGGATTGTCTCTGTAGAATAAAAATGTGAAAAACGATCGTGCTAATTATAAACGGATTCCATTATCTATATATATAATGTTCAGTGTGTGTTTCTCTATGCCAGGTCAAAGTTGAAAGGTTAAGAATTCTAGAACGTTCGAAAATGTTGTGTACTTCTATAAGTTTCCAGAATGTTCTAGAACTTTCTGGAACATTCGCGAAGGGTTCTACGGTTGCGTAAGAAGTTGGGTTAAGGGTCAAAGGTCAGAGGTCAGATAAGGCTATAATGGGAAGGCTGTAAGGGCTGTGATATATGCGGACACTCATGGGTCCTCAAGGGCTACTATATGAAAGTACTCACAGGTCCTCTAGAGCCAATATATGGCGATACCCATAGGTCCTCAAGGGCTATTGTATTGTGGTACCCATAGGTCCACAAGGCTATAGCGGAGTAGGGGATAAGCAAATAAGGATATAAGGGTAAAGGGGATAAGAGGCTAAGGCTACATGGGCATAAGGGATAGAGTTAAAAGAGTATAAGGCGATAAGGGTATATGGTATAAATGGATAAGGCTGGAAAGGATATAAGAGATAAGGAAATAACGGAATTAGGCTATAAGGAGTACTACAAGAAGAGTATGACTCTACAAGGGTATCAGGCTATACGATCTATATATATATAGATAATGCGAACTGGATTTTTGTCTATTACCCAATCAAAGCTAAAGGACAGAAGTGTAACTTCACAGGAAAAAAAGCAGCCGTGCAGTATGCACGGGCTCTCGCTAGTTCTATATATTTTCGAATACATATCTTTACTATTGTTTTATTTAATCCTCAGAAAATATAATAAGAAAGTAGTTCAAATATTAGAACGAAACGTTATTATTATACGGTCTAGGGTAGAGATTGAAATGAGAAGACAGCTTTTATCTTTTTCTTCGTTACCTTGTCAAGTCTTTATAAGATGTTTATATCTCTTGTAGATATCATTTATTTGACTGTATATTGCAAAAAAAAGCAACAACACAAGAGTACAAAAACAATCTAATTCGACATCAATCAATTTCTTTCTTTGTTATTCTCTATCGAATGAAAAACTATAATATGATTAATAGTTTTTGGGTTTTAATTAGATCTTCTTTGATTGACAATTTGACTTGCTGTCAAAAATTTTCTTTGAGCAGTAGCTGAATCATATCATACTGAGTGTATGTGGGGTCGTGATTTTGATCCGATATACTTTAATATTCCTCTTACATCATTTTATTGCAAAATATCTCTAGAGTGAGGAAAATAGGCAATGTTTTTGATTAGATGTATTTTCGATCTTGAATTCTAACAGTTATGATTATTTAAAACAAAATTGTTATATTTAATAATAGAATTGATTTTTTCAATAGAAAAATCTCAATATTTATTTGAATTGTTATAGACGAATACCGTTCTTTCATCTAAAAATGGATTACCTCCACATGTTTTATTTGCACTTGATAATGTTATTCGTCGTGTTGCTGAATATCTTGTTGGTCTTATTCGACCAGGTGAAATTTTATAAATTATCTTAATATTTGTTTTTAATAGATTAATTTTTGTCTTTTTTTGTTTAATAGATTTTATTTCTGCTGCAACTAGTATTGCACCGATAACACCAAGTGATGCACCAACATTTAGATCAACAGGCTCACGTTCACCATTTTTTCCAAATCCTACGGATGCAGCAAATGAAGAAATAGCACGTTTACATCAACAATATGCACAACTACTTCAGACAAGTCGAAAGTAATTTAAATAAATTATTGTTTTCAATTAAAAATTTTTTCTTTTTTCTATTTCTTTTAAAGTCATCTTAGTCAATTAATTAGTATTGAAAATAATAATGTTGTTAAATTATATGAATTATCAGTAAATCAAGAAGAGAAAAAATCATCAAGGTAAATATTTTTTTTTTGTTCAATTCCATCCTATGAAGAATAAATCATTTCTATGCTGTTGTTGAATAAAAGTTTTTTTTTTCTTCTTCTCCTCCTTCTTCAGTAATTCTTCGATTTTTCGACAAGTATTTGAAATGATATTCAACAGAATCAGGTTAGATGTTTTACACAGAGTGATGCACAACTTCAATCCATTTATTTGATATTCATCCCTGCTTTGCTAAACTTCTTCCTTTGAGTTTTACCCAATTATTCTATTATTAGAAATCTTATTGATTTTATTTTATTTTAATTTTATAGTAAAGCAATTGGCTTGTTTTTACCGGTTGAATCATCACCAACAATTGAAACTACGGTAAATTTCATTTGATTTAAGTTTTTAAATCATCTTTTTCTTCGTGTAATATCCAATAAATGAAAATGAGCGAATAGAAAGAAAACTTTGTTGTTTTTTGTTAAGCAGAAGTTTGTACGTGTACACTAATCGGTAAATAACTAGTGAAGATTCCCTTCGATAGAAACCTTAGGGAATGCGTACTTTCAGGTAGAGTGTGGATATGTACTATAAATATGAGCCTCGGTTAATAAAGAAACATGTGAAAAAAAATTTTTGAATAAGAGGATCAAAACTTATTTTTAGATCTAAGGATCGAAGATAAGACTAATAATAGCATTATTGATTATGATCAGCAGATGATCAGTAACGTTTAGTGTCTATTATTTTATAAATAATCAAGAATATTTTTTTAAAAGGATTCTGAACATGTAACAACATCTGTTGCAGAAGAACAAAATAAATCAAGTATTCTAACACAAAAAACAAAAGCATCACAACAAATAACGTAATTTTGTTTTTTGTATTTGATAGACAAAAAAAAAATTTTTTTTTATAGACAATCACGCTCACTTATTGAAATTGAACAAGAACATGATCAATTGCTCAAATCTATGATTGAGAATCGAACTCGTCTTAATCAATTATTTCGTTCATCGAGCACATAATAAATTTGTGCATGTTGATTTCAATTGAATAGAATTAGTTCATTAAAAACCTTTGTTTTTGTTTTTTTTGTCTTTGATTAGTATAGTCTATCAATATCTAAAAGTTCTTTCATTTTATTTTCTTTGTGCAAGATCAAACGGTGACTTTGTTCTCTCTTTCTTTTGTTGTTAATATGCCAACAGTATCTTTTGTTGATGCTAACAGGCGCGTTTTTTCGTTCTATTTTTTTTTCCCATGTATGTTATACATTTTATATCGATGATTTTATCTTATTTCTCAAGTGTAAACCTTGTAAGATCATTTTTTTTTCGACATTAAATATTAATGAGTTTGACATTTCAATCGATTATTCATATTTTTTTTCTAACTATTTTGCATAGTTTCGTCGTCTTGACATATATGGTTCAAAGGAGTATCGACATCAGCATATACTACTAATTATCAAGAAATTAGCATTTTTGAAGTATTAAGCTAAATAACATAGGTTATTGTACTACTCTTTATGAACAAATGATATGTAGAACAATGTCTAAAAACTGACAATGAAATGTTTTCATCATCACAGTCATCGAAATCATGGATGCATTCAAATATTTTTTTTTTGTGCTCTAGTGTTCATCAATATGCTATAAAGCTTGTTAGTGCAAAATTTTTGCGACGGAAAACATGGAACTCATGTGACACGTTTTTCCATTTCATCGTATATTAATTGAAGAATCTGTAACAGATTGCAGATTTTTTCTACGAATAATTCGGTTGTTAGATAAACAATCTGTCTTATTTATTTCCGCATTTTGGAATAGAAGTTTTTTCTGTTAGATTTTTACTTGCAGGTGTGGGTATGGGTTTAAAATAAAGCAAAATACGCCCACATACCCTTTGGAATATTTTCAAACCCTCTAAAAATTGTTCTTAATACTGTTTAATACCTTTTTTCGTTGTTAGCTAGAGAAAACAAATCTGCTGTCTGTCGTTCTTGATTACCATGGTGACGTAAAATCATTGACATATACTCTGACTTTCACATATGTCTATAAATACGAGAAAAGGAAGAAGCAAGGATAGGTTGAAAACCTAGCTTTATAATTTACACTTATCGTTTTCTTTTGTCAAATATTTGAGTTTCACAAAATAGAAGTATCAAAAATATTGTTTCAACAACACAGAAATTATAACAGTCAATTTGTCTGTCTGATATTGGAAAAAGGGAATAGTTTTCGTATTCCTTAGACATCATCAACAAAGAGGATGTGTATTTTCAAGTTAAAATAGTTTCAATTTGAAAGAGAAAACAATGTCGTATATATTATACAAAGTTTCAAATTTCTATTCAATAGAAACACATAACAAGCAAAGCAATGAAAGCAAAGACAAAAGTATTGAAGATTGATGCGATAACTCTACTCGCATATGATCGCATATGAGATATTAAAGTTGTTGCCTGGATAAAATTCGAGGAACCGGTAGAGACCAATGAAATTATAGTTGAACTAGACTCAATTATATTCGAATTTATCCAATTTTCATAAGCAGCCACTCGAGTATACATTCCAGAATATGCAGCTCGTGCGCATCCTATACCATTACTTGTCAAACCGACCAATATCCATCGATTGCTTGAATCGAACATCATCAATGGACCACCTGAATCACCTTGACATGTATCTAAAGAACGCACCAATAAAAATATTTGTAGAAAAAGAGAGACAATCAAGTTAAGCCTCCCCCCCCCTCAAAAAAGTCAATTTTCGCCAGAAAAATCGAAATTGAGATAAATGCATGGGAAGACAGCCCAAGTTCTGCTCTTTCAGAAACGCTATGATTTTTTTATTGGGCGCCCCTTTTTTGACAAAGTTTTTAATTCTTTTCTGTCATCGACTGCTAAAAAACGCGATTTTTTTCTAGAAAAAAATATTTTGAAGTTTTCGCATGGAAAATAAGTACTCTAATCAAGTTATCGATATTGCTCGGGTGTGAGTGCGGATGGGTGTGGATAGATGTAGGTGTGTATGTGAGGTGAATCCACTCACCCCACACCCATACACCCACACCCACATCCACCCTTTCATTTTGAGTATGGAAGAAACCATCAGAACGAGTCAATTCGGATTTGTTCATACAGTTTTTTGTAGAGTTTTTCACGGCGAATCTTCTGAAAAAAAATCAAAATTTTATCATTTGTCTGTGCGGAGATATTCGCAAAATAAAGCATGTTTTTTTTGCGACATCCGCTATTTCAAAAACTTGTTTCACGTTTTTCTCAGAAGATAGGTTCGACGACGTAGCGCCACCGCCATTCGACCACTGTTCAATATAAAGTCATATATTTTTTTTTGTTTGAAAGGTCGTGTTTAGGGCTAGCCCCTCTCGTGGCCCGATTTTTAAAATAAGCTTTTTATTATTATATAAGAACACATCTTCATAGAAAAAGCGCCATTTTTTCGCGGTTTTTTGAGTCATTGAACTTGTCACTCCTTTTCTTCGCCTAAAAAGTAAGAATTTAGAAAAAAGGGCCACGAGAGGGGCTAGCCCTAGAGACAAGCTTTCAAACAAAAAAAAAAAATATATATATATATATATAATGAGAGTCCACAGAGAAATTTTGGCGCTGAAATGAGCTATTTTTGACCCTTGTTTGGTTCATAT